AAGAAAATCAAAGGACAATATATAATAAAAGACAGCAGATGCACCGTCCTCACTCCTCGGCTCGCTCATCGCCCGCCCCGACTCCCGGTGAAGCATCCACTTGCTTATCTTGCTCTTCCGGACTTACTGGGTCAGGCCTTGCCTTGTCACTATCGACGCTATTTCCCCTCCGTCTTGAGCCTCCCGAACCAGAGCCGCCGGCTTCTCGGGGCGATCCCGTGGCGGATGCCTCGGCATCTTCTTCTACCGAATGTCTCGGAGTACGAAGGCGCGTAGCGGCCGCCGGACTTATCAGATTTAAGTTGGAACCATGCGGACCCTCAGCGAGCTCTTTCTCGAAATCCGCCACGAGCATGTCAAGCAGGTCTTGATCAACGAATTCCGATTCTATATTAAGCGGAGATACCTCCACATCGGGTTCCGTCAACGGACCCACGTCCAATCGCTCGGCTTCAGCAAACCAATGCTCTTCCTTTTTACGGAAGTATTCGATCCTCTCCTGCGGAATCGGATCTCCTCTCTTCTGTAGGAGCTCGAGGCATTTCCGAGTACCGAATGCCTGACTGTAACGCAGCCGAGCGTCGTCGAACGCCGGAAAGGAAGCCTCCCGATTGCGGATCCGCTCCATTTTGATGAACATCTNCGCTCGGCTTCAGCAAACCAATGCTCTTCCTTTTTACGGAAGTATTCGATCCTCTCCTGCGGAATCGGATCTCCTCTCTTCTGTAGGAGCTCGAGGCATTTCCGAGTACCGAATGCCTGACTGTAACGCAGCCGAGCGTCGTCGAACGCCGGAAAGGAAGCCTCCCGATTGCGGATCCGCTCCATTTTGATGAACATCTTGGTGCACATCACGGCAGTCACCCTGGCTCGCTCTTTGGTAACTTCGAAAACTCGGGACTCTCTCAAGCGAGCAGCTTCCTTAGCGTGTGCCTCGATAAGTTCAAGCCTCTCGCGCTCCAACCGGAACTTATCCAAAAACAAGGCGGCCTTCTCCTTCTCGACTTTAGCAGCCGCATCCCTCATGGACTTAAACCTGCTCAAAATGTCCTCAGCTCGCATCGACTTGACCTCAGCGAGACGGAGGGCCTCCTCCTTCTCCGCCTCAACCCGCTTCAAAGAAGCCTTCAGCGACTTAATCCGCTTCTTCCCTTCCTTGACCTTCTCTCGGGCTTCGGCCGACTCGGCATACATCCTCTTAAGTTCCGAATCGTATTTCTCGACAAGGAAATTAAAGCTACCGCCAGCCTGAAACACTCGGCGAATGCATGAATTAGGGATAGGAAGAAAGCCGACACACGAATATATCAACCAACCGAAAGGGACGAATACTTACAGTCAAGAAGTTTCGCGAAGCATCTTTGTAAGCGCTCGGAAAGACCAACTGATCTGCAGGAGGGAGGCCGCGAGGACCCCCCTTTATCTGGCCGACGAGCTCGGCACACCTAGGACCGTTAGAGATGAGTGGAGACGCCTCGTCAAACGAAAAGGAGACCTTATCCGGAAAAACGGTCTTGAACCGCCGAGTAATCGGACGCTCCACCAGAGAAGATGAAGTCCCAAGGATGGAACTCGGAGGAGGGACATCGCCTTGAGCCTCCGCGACGGCATTCGGCGTAACCGTCGTTCTGTCATCCCCTCCAAGTTCTCCTCCAGACGGGGACTTAAGACGATTGCCCCACCAGGCCACCCGGAAGAACGGGAAGAGTCTCGTCAGTCGCTTGGACTGTGGTCATCGCCTCTTCCGCTCGGGGGTGTTCAACTAACTCATCTCGCACAAAAGAAACATTCCCCGCCGCGGAACTAGGACCGTCATCAGTCGATCCCCGAGCAGGCCTCTCGATGGATTTCTCAGTTGACCCTCTCTTCTTCTTCCTTTTATTCTTGGCAGGCTGGTCAGACGCGGCTTGTTTCATAGCCACGGAGGAACTGATCCCTTCACTCGGCTTCGAACCGGGACCATCACCATCCATTTTCCGTTTCGACCCTCCAGTCGGTCTCTCGGAAGACTCTTTCCTCCTCTTCTTTTTAGAAGGAGCATCGGAGACAGCCTGTGTCTCGGCAGTCGGAGGATCCTGAGCAACTCCCCCATCAAGGTGATCTTCGGGTTCTGCGGGATCGACTGACCCCATCTTCGGCGAGTTGCCAGTGGGAGGGACAACGGCGTCGGCGGGTTCAGACCCGTCAAGATTAAACGTATCCAGCACGTTCATAAGTCCTGCTCCTCCCAGCTCCTCGTCATCCTCTATTTCCTGAGACAAGTCCGGAATGCCTCTCATCTTTCGCGCCCGGTTGATAGCTTTTTGCTCCTTCCTCGTGAAGAGCACTGACCGTTTCTTGTCAGTCCGACTTTTACACGGTAACCTTGAGTCCCACGTACCTATACCAGATGCGCAACCAAGCAAGGGTGTTAGGCACAGAGCACATATAAATAAAAAGGGGGGCGGATAGTGATGAAGAACCAAGAGCCTTACCGTCGTCTATGCGGTTCAGCCAACGACGTATCCTCTCCTCGCTTATCTCGGGCCACCGAAGATGTCCGAGTTCAACCAACGCTCGGGCGTTGTCGTAGAATGAGCCTGGAACTCCTGTCAGATACGGATGATTCACTGCACAACAACAAGGGAGTCGGTAAGTATGTGAGAACGCGTTTACAAGAAAAGAATAACTATCTACCAGCATGCCAATTCCAGAACACTCGCGACCCGACATCTGGGGGATCGACGAACGAAAACTCGTCAGATCTGACAAAGAAGTAGTAACGCTGCCAGTTGGTGGTCTTCGTCGGATGCCCAGTGATCACATTGTAGCTCGGCCTCATCGTGATGGAGAAGAAGTCATCATCCAACGGTTTGATCGAGGTCAGTTCCTCGAAAGCTCGGGGACAAAGAACAATGCCGAGCTCGGCTGACATCACCAGCAGCGCAACCATCAAGCGGAATGCGCCGTTTACAAACTGACTTATAGTGAGGTCACAACGAGCCGCATAAGAAGTCACGAGTCTCGGAATCGGGAACCAAAGTCGCGTGTCCCTTTCAAAGTACGCCTCGTATACACATTGATATCCCATCGGGGGAGCCCAGGGTCTCTGATTGTCAGTCGGCATCAGGTACGTGACCCCAACAGCATAGAGACGCTTTAGCAGGTTCTCAACCCGAGTGGAGGTAGACCACGTCGACATTATGCGCCGGTTGGAATAAGTACCGCGCTCGTGGATTACGTTTGACGGAAGTTCCATACCCCGCTCGAAGACGCCGTTTCCCAAGTAACGAGTCGGGACTGGAGGAGGACTGGCAACGACTTGAGTGCGTCCGGAAGGATCCGATGTCCGAGTCCCACCCGACGCTCGAGCGGCGCGACCCCGGATGTTGATCCGAGCAGACTGCATTGGGGAACTCCTAATCAGAATCGGGACACCGAGTGACTCGGCAGCCTCGTTACCAGCGGCCTCTCCCCTCAACTCCCTTTCCGAGTCAACTATGAGAAGTCTTTGTGTAGTGTTAAGACTAGCCGAGTCGCGAAGCGCCCTCCGATGTTCTAACTCAAAGTCGTCAAGCGGCTCGCCGGTTGTCTCGTCTCACGCTACATCTTTCCCCTTCTCTTCCCGAGTCAATCGCTTTCGGGGACACATCGCGACCGGCAATACGTATATATCTTACAAACAATCTAGAGAGAGAAAGTAGAGAGAAGGGAGAGAGGATACCTGATTTCGCGGAGAAGAATAAAAGAAGTGAAAACAGGGGGATATATATAGGAGAAGCAGGGCACGGATCTCAGCGCAGCATTTATTAGGTCTACGAAAACCTAGATGGGCTTTATTATCGCGACTGTTCATATTCCGCCCTTAATGGGCTGAGTCCGATATAAAGAAGCCCATCATTAGCGACGATTCACATTCCCTTCCAACGAAAGCCGAGTGATCGACACGATCGACACTCTACCCGATTACCGAGTAAACCATCAGAAACCTCGGTCAATGAAAGCCGAGTGAACGACACGATCGACACTCTACCCGATTACCGAGTAAACCATCAGAAACCTCGGTCAATGAAAGCCGAGTGAACGACACGATCGACACTCTACTCGATTACCGAGTGAACCACCAGAAGCCTCGATCTACGAAAGCCGAGTGAACGACGCGATCAACACTCTACTCGATTACCGAGTGAACCACCAGAAGCCTCGATCTACGAAAGCCGAGTGAACGACGCGATCAACACTCTACTCGATTACCGAATAAATCGTCAGAAATCTTATTCGACGGAAACCGAGTAAATAACACGGTCATCACTTCCGTTCAGAGGCCGAATGAAATCAACGACGCGTTCAAATTCGCCCCGACTAGTCCACGAATCCTTCGCCTGAAGGAAGGACTTCCTAGGTCTTCCTCCACATTCCGAGTATGCTTTCCCGTAAACCTCATCAAATCAGTCTATTGACTTGACAACCGATCGTCAATGGACTGGGGGAACTTACTGTAGGAGGTGGGCCGTACCTGCCCTTCAAGGCCCACGAGAAATCACACTCGGCCCGGTAACAGTTGAAGTCAGACCCGAGTGGCGTCCGTACGAGTATGAAAACGGATTGCTGAGCCGACAACAGACCCAATACCGGAGGCCCATGAACCGAGAGCGACCTAGGTTAAGGCCGAGGAGCTCGAGCTATAAAAGGAGAGGGAGGCAACACAAGAAAGGGATCCGAAATTAGAAACTGAGACGGCGGCATAGATTAGAACAAGTAGCTAGATTTATTTCGTTGTCTTTACCGAGTGAAACCGAATCTCGGCATAACCTCCGAACGCCGGGATTCTCTCTGTACTCTCCGTTTATAAATAAAACTTCCTGTTCATTCGGTTCATTTAGATTCACACCTTTGTAATAACCCACCAACGAGTCCCGTCACTCATTTTACTGATACACGACCGAACTCGGTACAAACAAGTAGTATTAAGTATTTCACTAGCTTCGGCAATTTCACCCATTGCTTCCTCCAACAAGAGGAAGAAAGTGAGCAAAGCATCGATATTCCAAGTCTCCTTCAAGAATCAAAGACTCTTTTGGTAGTACTAGTTTGTAACGTTAACCCAAGGAATAGGAGAGATGGCGTTGGGGGAGCAGGAGCACGAAGGAACAGTCGTTGAGAGCGGAGATCAGAAGACGAAGAAGAAGACGAAGGGTTTGTTGTCTCGAATCTGGAACGGGTTGTTTAGGGTTAAAGGAGACGACTTTGAGAAGAGACTTAAAGGCATCTCTAAGGAAGAAGCTACTATAAGGTCGAGGATGAAGCGCAGATCGGTTACAAAGAGGAAGCTCATTAGGAATCTCATTGCTTTCTCTCTCTTCTTTGAGGTGGTCACCTTTGAGCAAAAGTCTTTTGCTTTTGGGGTTTGGATGATTTGATATGGAACAGTTTCTCTTTGTGGGTTTTCAGGTGATTGCAGTGAGTTATGCGATTATGACGACGAGAGATGAGGATTTGGATTGGAGACTTAGGAGTTTTAGGGTCTTGCCCATGTTTCTTTTACCTGCTCTTGCTTTTCTTGGCTACTCTTCACTCGTTAGCTTCACCAGCATGTGTGAGTCTTGTCTTTTCCTTCATTGAAACGTCGGTACTTTTGTCTGATCGTGTCTTCTGTTTGGTTTAGGTGACCGCAGAGATGAGAAAACTTTGGAGAAGCTTCAAGGTGAAATGCTGGGGAAGATCGATGAGTTAAAAGAGAGGACCAATTACTTCACCACACTTGATATCCTTCGTGTAAGATTACTAAGAGGTTTTTCTTGTGTGTGGGAGGCTAGTACACACACAACTCCATTTTTTCATATCTTGCTTGCATCATTACTTTAATAGATTACAAGGTTACAGTATAACACTTATTGATGGCAATAGGTTTATTACCTTTACATCTGTTGTGGGATTAGATCATTTTTTCAAAATTTTTTATTATGTTTCAAGTTATCCTTACAAGATGTCTTTAAATAGAATTAGAAAAAAACATCCATTAAAGGAGTATCCTTGTCAGGAAAAGATTGTTTAATTATAGTTAGGAATCTAACTGTAAGTGTTACAGTTGAGGTTCATAGTTTATGATACGAGTCCCAACTCGAGTTGATTGGAACTACTTATTGCACTATCTCAATGAGTTTTTATCGCTACTGCAACTGGGAACTTGTTTTCTGAATTGAGCTATTTTGCATCAGAGGTTTGACCCTGATCCAGCTGCAAGGGCGGCTGCTGCAACTATTCTGGCATCGAAGTTGGGTGCTGATTCAGGCTTGAAAGTATATGTAGGAGATGAATCCCAACTTGAGCCTACCACAGGCAAAAGCAATGAAGACACGGTAGTCAAACACTCACAAGGGCTCAGGAATCGAAAACAACCAAATACAAGAAGACGCAAAGACGGTGCTGGGACCACTCCAGCCCATCATTCGGATAATGAGTCTAACCATTCTGGAACAAGCGAAGGAACCACCAGCACAGAGCAAAACCAGCAGATGGTTTTTGAGCATTATAACCCTCAGGGATATGCTGGTCATGATGGTAGCTGGATCTCACGCATTGCGTCTCTCCTCGTAGGTGAAGATCCAACTCAGTCATGTCCACTCATCTGCGGAAACTGCCATATGCATAACGGTAAGTTAACCCATTATCTTTGTCTTTTTGCTTTTCCATCAATAACATTGTTTCATCTTTCGCTTTCTTTTCATATAGGACTTTGCCGGAAAGAGGACTTCCCGTTTGTAACTTACTACTGTCCTCATTGTCGAGCCCTGAACAAGCCGAAGCATTCAGAAGAGCAATCACTTACTCTTCCTGCTGCTGATACAGTCTCTCTGAAGCCAATGGGAAGGGAAGTGGTCAATAGCAGTAGCAGCTCGACTAGTGAGCGTGGTGACAGTCCAGTTCCTGCAGTTGCTGTGGAAGAAGCCCCAGTAACAACCGAGAGCTGACCTAAATATATTTTGTGCTAGAAAGAGAGAAGTGCGAGATGGTCCTGTTAAAATATGTACCTGCTTGCAATTTTGATTGTGAAATGAAATCTGAATAGATTTTTAATCTTTTATTATTGTTGGGAAATTATATATAAATTAATTGCTTCTACTAACAAGGGAAAACCGATGGATAAATCCTCTAGAATTTGATCGAGTGACTCACCTCAGCTTTCAGCATGTTCCAATTTTGTGCCAGATTGACTCATCTTTGAGAAAATAGGTGTATATTTTGATCCAGCTGTTACAATTGCTTTAAGCTATTTGAAGATGAAAGTTAACAGCTCTCTTTTTTTCTATTGTCCACATGTGAGCAAGATCCATTCGATGGAAAGTCATCCATCTAATCAAAGATTTAATGATATTTGAAAGTATCCAATCTCCAAACTGCTGTATTTTTCGTCCAGTTTTATTAGATTTCTAAAATACAGAAAATAAAAACATCCATAAAATGTAAGAATCATACAGTTTTGTCATCAAAAATTATCCTTTTTTTTTGTTCAAAAGTCATCAAAAATTATCTAAAACATATTTAAATTGATGTAAAATACAATAGAAGGAAACACGTATAATCAACTAAAATGTCTCCAAGTACAAAGGTGATAATTACAGTTAGGAATAACCTATGATATTTGTTGATTCTTAACCTCATTATGCTATTCATGTACATCCTTTAAAATTATTAGATGAACGTAAGTACAAAGTGTCCTCATTGTACATTCCCATTTCGGTGAGAAACTATGTCTTAAAATTAATACATCTCAGCTTCTTCTCCCTCCACAAGATTGGATTAATATTCTCCTCCATCACCATCCATTCTTTTGCTCTCCTCTCCTCCCTAAACATAAACCCACCAAAAAAACAAAAACTTCCAACTTTTTTTCTTTTCTTAGATCGAGAGAGAGAGGGAGGGAGAGATTTTGGGGTTTAGTAGAAAGTTTTTGTTCTTTTTCTTTTTTTTTTTTGTTTTCTTTAGCAAAAATTATTTGTTATGGGTAATGTGACGTCTAACGTGGCGGCGAAGTTCGCTTTCTTCCCACCAACGCCGGCTACGTACGGCGTAAGTAAAGACGAGGAGACAGGAAAGCTCATGTTCACCGGAGTCACGCCTGAAAAAAGCATGGAGGTTCACCAAGTTACCACCAAATCAGGCAACAAGGTCGTCGCTACGTTTTGGAAACACCCATTTGCAAGATTCACTCTCCTCTATTCCCATGGCAATGCTGCTGATCTCGGCCAAATGGTCGACCTCTTCATCGAGCTCCGAGCTCATCTCCGTGTCAACATTATGAGGTCTTATATATACAAACGACCCTACAATTCTTTTCATTTTTGTTGATGAAAAACCTTAACATCTTCATATGTAAATGAATCAGCTATGACTATTCAGGGTATGGAGCTTCAACAGGCAAGGTAAGAGAGTATTTTAATATAAAAATTCAAACATTTGTTTAATATTTGATTGTTGTGTAATGAAATAGCCGTCTGAGGGCAATACTTACCACGATATCGAGGCTGTGTACAACTGCTTGAGGAGCGAGTATGAGATCAAGCCAGAGGAGATGATTTTGTATGGTCAGTCCGTTGGAAGCGGACCAACGTTGTACTTAGCGTCACGATTGAAGAGACTAAGAGGAGTTGTTCTTCACAGCGCAATTCTCTCTGGCATTAGAGTTTTGTACCCTGTCAAAATGACATTATGGTTCGATATATATAAAGTAAGCTCTCTTCTTTTTGTTTTCACTTTTTGTTCTTTTCTTACAAACTTTGGAATGTATTGCAGAACATTGATAGGATACGACATGTCACATGCCCTGTTCTTGTCATACATGTAAGGTCACATAAACTTCTTTCTCACAAAGAAGAGACATTTTGAACGGGAGATGATTAAACTTGGTTAATGAAACTACAGGGAACAAAAGATGAGGTGGTTACCATGTCGCATGGGAAGAAACTGTGGGAGCTTTCAAAGGACAAGTATGATCCATTGTGGGTTAAAGGAGGAGGGCATTGCAACTTGGAGACGTATCCTGAGTACATAAAGCACCTGCGCAAATTCATAAACGCAATGGAGAAACTAGCTCTCAACAATCCACCATCCAGACAACTAGACGACGAGCCAAGCAATACTGAAACTAAGCTCACCTGTTGCTTAAGATTCAAGAAAAAGTAGAGCTGGAACTGAAGATTGCAGTAACAAAGGTTCAGAAGATTCAACTATGAGAATTTCAATGTCAACGAATGCAATATTCCGAAAGAGGAAATGGCGAAACCAGATTTCATGTTTGTAGGTGTTTGCCTTTGTAAACAAAGAATGTGATGTAGGCAACCGTTTGAAAATTTCATTACTTGTTGATGAAGCAACCAAATCAATATGCATCAATTATGGGAATGTTATAAATGTTTTTGGTAGATTTTGAGATTGGTTGCCTAACAAAAGAATTGGAAAGACTGTATAGCAAAATAATATTTATCTGATGGTATCAGTTTTGTTTTCTGTTTTTTTTTTTTATTAAATCAAATTTGGCTCATAGGATTCTAGCCCTGTTCGTTTCTTAACCGCTAGACGCAACGTCAGCGGCAAGAAAAAGGTACTACGACGGTGACCAAATTAATAGAATCTCAAGCGAAGTAATCGCAACAGACTTTCAGAGACACAGAAAAACTAGACGCCGGTGCCGCTAACAATTTCTGCGTCTCTTCTACCTATTGTTAATTGCCGCTGCGTCTGGAAAACAAGTTGCCAGTGCTTCCTCGGTGTTGTGTGATTCCGTGATAATAGGTATAATTTGTGGTCGCTGCCGCTAGATGCAGAGGTTAAGAAACGAACAGGGCTTCTGTAGAATCCAAAACCGCATACGAGTGTTTCTGTGTTTAAATGTTAAATAGCGTTTGCGGATGTAAGTGGATCAAACGTCATAATGTTGTTCATTTCTAGTAACTAAAAGGTTATGCATTATATTATGCCATGTGTAAAATTGTTAATATAGTTAACATGAACACAACGGAAAAAACATAAAATGAACATGGAATATTAGAGACCAAACAAACGAAGCATTACAACACAAAACAAAGTCCACTTCTCTCTACTCTTTATATTGTTCATCCAAAAGATGAACTCTTGTGTTTATAGAATCCGTCTACAAGCTTTCATGAAAACAAAAAGTCATCAAAAGGAAAGCCTAAGAGACTTTACTCTCCTCTTAAATTTTTTTCATTCGATCTCCACAATCTGAGGCCTCCTCTCTGCAGCTTTCTTGCGTATGAAGATACCCCATCTCAAAGCAGCTTTAAGCTTAAGCCATCCCACCACAGCTTTTCCCGAGCCTCTGTTACGCTCTCTCCTGTACGTGTCATCGACCTGAGCTTGGTACGGGATGTTGTAACCGTAACAAGACTCATCCATCTGACCAAACCCGCTATGTGTTCCCATAGGGCTCATACCAATCCCAAAAGTCTTCAACAGTCTCTGCATATCGTCAGTTTCAAGCATCTCAGAACTCCTTAGTCTAATTTCTTCACTGAAAATGTCTTCAAGACCTTGTCCAGCTCTTGGTCGGCACCAATCTTCTCCATTGTAATCTTGCACATTGCTAGGTAATGAGGGTAATAATTGGCTGCAAGGTTGCTGCACAAACTGAGGATATTCTATCGGTTGAGGGACCGGAGAATAGGTAACAACATTCTGATGAGTTTGTCTGTTGTTCTGGTTTTGCAGCTGCTGATGGTTCTGAGCTCTTGGTGCTGTGGAAATCTTTGGTTCGGGTAAGCTTTTTGTTTCCTTCTCGGCGACTGGTAAGCAATTCAACAGCTTACCGTCGTATTCAACAGCTTTATGCCAGTTTTCATAAGCTATCTTCACCAAAATGTCTGCAGAGATCTGTGAGCTAACCAGTGATCAGCTTCACAACAAAAAGGAACTGTTTTCAAAACCTTGAGAGAAAGAAATGTCTGTCTTTAATTACCTTTTGGTCATGGTTAAGAGACTCAAGAGATATGAACTGTCCATTTGCAATAAGGCCTCTGAACTCATAGATATGATTGAAGACAACGCCTGTAGCGTGAGTCTGGTCTGTGTAAAACACATAAAGCTTCCCACCCAAAACGCATGTCTTTGCGTGCTCCATTGTGTTCTCCCACATTCTATTCGACATTCCACTCCCAAGCAACTACAATATCATCAGGTAACAACAAAGAACATTTAACAATGTATCTATGTTTGTGGTTTCTTTCGCATAAAACAGAAATGGATGCTAACATTTCTCAGCTTCTGTGGATCCTTAACAAGGAGTCTAAGGAAGTCTTCGACTGTGACAATGCCAGCTTTCAATAGCTTCTTGTGTAACACCCCGTCTTTCGCTATTCTATCTAGTCTCCATACTTCATCATGTAAGGCTGGTGGGTAATGTTTCTTGTATACTGCAAAACATAGTCAAAATAACATTGTCTAACACTCTATTTTGTCTAGTATAGTAAGAAGTTTAAGCACTCACATTCTCCTCTATGATCTTTGACGGCAAACGGTTCTGTTTTGGCTTCACGAATGTGAAAGCTATCACCATACCCTGGAGCGGTCTTAACACCAAGCCGAAACTTTCGGCTCCTAATCCAACTCGAGTTATCAGTAAAAGTAAGTTCCCCTAAAGTTCCCACACCTTCCTTAAGCATCAGCTGCGTGTCACCGGTCAAGATTGGGCGTTTCCCTTGTCGCTCTTTCACTTCAAAGCTCTCAAAGTGCTCTCTAGTCCAGTCTTCATCATTGAAGTCACCCTCTAACACAACAACATTCAGCTTTGTAACCGACTCTTCCCCTGTTTGGACTACATTTCCTGTGTTTGCATCTATAAGAACCACATGAATGGCTGAGCCTCGCTCTCCCTCGACTTTCCCACCTGTGAATAAGTGAGGAGGCATTCTCGTCCTAAAGTGAAGTTGCAGGTTTCTTCCATCACGGCCTTGGATCTTCTTTGGTTCCGGCGACCTGTAGATTTTTTAAGCCAGTTTAACAGAATTTAAACACTAGAAAGAACCACAGAACAATTTCAAGAGGGAAAACTGTAGCTAGAGTCGTACCTCGACGTTAACTTCCCATTTCCTAACCTTGATATGGCTCGTTCCACCTCTTCGCTAACCTGTTTGTTTGGTCCAGACCAAAACAAAGTTTAAAACTCCACAAGCATCCAAAAATAGGATAAAAGCATTACATGTTGAACTTAACAATATATGATTCAAAACTCACAATTCTGCGAAACAGTGGCTCCAAAGATGAGCAAAGCCTTTGCAGACTATCTACCTTGACAGCTTCCACAATAACACTGTAAACAAGTATATTGCAAGTGAGTAAAGAGCTTTGAAAACATAACAACAGAACTTTGAGAGCTTAAGAAAAAGATTAGTCTCTACTCAAGAAGAGGTAGAGACTCTTAGTATTAAACGCATAGCAAGTCTTCTTCGATAGTTGTAAGGTATAACCATTGAGCTACTTCAAGGAAGTTACCTTGCCAAAGCAGGCACTTTTTGTCTCTTTGATCCGGGCAAGTTGTCTTTATCCTCTTGACTGCATTCGTGTCCACGCTTGTTCATGGAACTATCCATTTAAGCAAAAAAAGAAATTACAATCTCCGTGGTAAAAGACATACAAAAAATTATTCCAAAGTTAGAAGAAAACAGCAGAAGTCCACAAAAGGAAGCTTCAGAGAAGAACACACAAGAAACATAATAAGTTGGACATATAACAAATAGTCTCAAGCTATAAAGTTTGGACAACCCACATGGGGTTTAGACGGTGTGCAGAAGTCACTGAACCGAGATCTGTTCTTTAACGGTAGATCTAAAGCGTTGAATTATTATGATTAAAAACTTTATGGAATCTATCCATGTGAGGATTAGAATAATGCAAAGGGAGAGAGGGAGTCATTTATTGGGTGACACTATGATAAACAAATGGAATAAAAAAGCAGCTGTTTTTGTGCATGAATGAGTATTGAAAGTTGATACCTGGAGCTATCATATGCTGCTGCTGCATTATGTCAACCTTATTGTTGTTATTATTGACTTGACACAAGTTTTGTCTCTTTCGCTGCTCTTGTCCCCCTTCACACATTCTCATGTTTCTTAACATATGAAAAGTCTCTGTTAGTTTTTACAAAGAGGAAAATAAAGTCTACTTATGCTTACATCACAGATATACAAATCATCTTGAAAATCAAATCATTCTTCTGTCTCAGTCAGATGAAAATCTCAACAAAACCCATGATATATTATATAATTTATATATTTATCTTTGTCTAATGAGAATTTATATATTTATGTTTGTCTAGTGAGAATTTTGATGGAACTATAAAATATAGAGAAGTCGGTGAGATCTCGTCAGATGTGACTGGAGAAATATATATATGAAGAAAAGTCAATACAAGGTTTGTTTAGCTTATATTGATCCAAGAGCAAAACAAAAAAAAAGAGCTACATACAGTATATAGAGAACATGGAGGGATAAGACTTTGGCTTGAGACTTAAGCTATTCCCATGTTCTCATGCGGAAGAGAAAATATAGTTTGCTTCCATCGAGAAACTAACTCTGAGAAGAAGGCCCACTAAAGCAAATTACTTACTTTTAGATCTATAGTAGTGAGAGCAGATTTATGATTAACTTACTTGTTGATGAAAATGGTGACATTAGAACAGTTACAGCAAGCAAAATAATGACGACATAGCAGAGCAGAGTGAGAAAGTGGTACTCCATCAACTCAAAGAGAACCCAAGTGTACACCACCAGACATCTTCATGTTCCTCCAAATAAGATATAAGCTTCTGCAAATAGGAATATAACCAAAATATGGTTGCTCGAGCTTTCCTTCTACAACTGAAGAGTAGATAAAGACGGCTACCATAACTATCTTGAGCAGCGGTAGCAGCGAGAGCAGAGAACGACGGCTACCATAACTATCTTGAGCAGCGGTAGCAGCGAGAGCAGAGAACGACGACACACGAGATGATGACGACATGGACGGTGATTGCCGATGGCTTGGAGCTTCGACGTGGACGGTGGGGAGCACGAGCAGACGTCAACAATGTCGATGATGAGCACAAACCTGTTTCATACACAACAACAACAATTGGTACAACAACAACACGAACAAACGTCCAGAACTGTAATAAGTACAAACCTGTTTCATACACAACAACAACAATTGGTACAACAACAACACGAACAAACGTCCAGAACTGTAATAAGTACAAACCTGTTTCATACACAACAACAACAATTGGAATTTAAGGGAAAAAAAAACACTCAGTAACTTAACATATAACTTTAAATCTATTGATAAGATCCAGATTATCTCAGAAGCTTATTTGTTAACACAAACATCAATGTCTATAGCCAGAAACAAATATTTCTCACCTTCTCAGCCATAACACACCCACATCAAAAATAGGAAAAAAAATGTGAAATCTCTGTCTCTATTAAAAAGTTTAATCTGATCTCCAGTTTATTAGAAACTTTATAAAATTATATTTACATGTCCAAAAACAATAATCATGTTAACATATACATCCAAGAGAATCAACAGTGATTATCCAGAAAATATTTCCACGAAACTAGAAAGAAAATTCATAAGATCACTAAACTCAAAATCAAGTGAAAATTGGGCGAAATTGAAACCCCAAGAGGGAAATTGAATGCATAAGAAATTATATTGATGATCACAAACCTGTGAGATTAAACTTTGTTCGATAAGAGGTGCTTCTTTTTTTTCAACGGAACCCATCGCTTTCCCTTCATTTAAAAAGTTTTTTACTCTGATGATGACCTCTTTGCTCTCTTATCTACTAGAAGAAGGAGATCGAGAGAGAAGATGGAGAGATTGGAAGAGGAAGAGGAAGAGGAAGAGGAATAGGAAGAGGAAGAGTAGAAAATTTGATTTCTGATGAAGGAGAGAGACACAAAATTGACACGTCAGGGGTTCCTACTATTCCTAAAAGTCCTATATTAAGTACCGGTCCTGTATTTTTTCTCTCTTTTTTCATTTTTTTTTGTCTTTTGCTTAGAATTCTTCTTAAGTGACTGCCGATGGAGGTGGTCTAACTTGGTGTAAGTGTGGTTTATAAAATCTAATCATGCAATTTTGAAAAAAAAAAAAATTAAGAACCACAAAGAGGTTCTTCCATTGGACCATACCAAATTTAATTACACTATCAAAAGTTCTAAACTTCAAAAATCACAAAATTAACTATTAAACTAATCATTAGTACCCATTATGGGTTCTAACCAATGGACATGCTCTTACCTTCCTCTCTATGAGCAACAATGCTTAAGTCTCTCTCTCTCTAGGGTGATTAGGAATAAATCTCTGTCGCGTCGTTACACTTCTCAATGATGAAACTTTTTCTTGCAAGCTTCAGCTTTTCTCCACAAACTGCCTCTCCATCTCCTTTTGAACTCTGGATCATCGCTTCCACAATCCATAAGTCAATATCCATATTCTAGTTTCCATGGAACCAATAGAGGAAAGATGTGAAAAAAGACAGAAACATTATTCATTTTCCTATCTTGAGTCCATCCTCGCAAGAGTGTGATCTCTGATCGTTTCTGTTCAATCTCATTTCATCTAAAAATTCTTACGGCTTAAGACCTATGAAAGATCAGATATTCAATTTCATCCACCATCGTCAAAATTGTAGATTCAATCAGAACGAAAGCGAATCCATGATGGTCACACTGCACAGTACCTGGAGGAGAGCAATCGCAAGCAAACACAAGGACGGAAAAACGGAGTTGCTACGAGCATCTAGAGCTGATGGATGCTACATTAGCAGTTTCTAGACATTGCTCGCGGTGAACCAACGGCGATTCTGAAACATCCTAGTTTAACATTGTCAAGTGTACCCTTTTAGTTCATACAATATCCAACATTGACGTTATATTTTAAGATTATAATTATTTACATTTGTATCCTTTTAGTTCCATAACATGTCAAATATGGGCACTATACTTCCATTTATCCATAAATCATTCTTTAATGAAAAAAAAAACAAAATCCAACTCTGTTTCTACTTTTCACCAAGAATGTCAATAAAAAAATAAGACATTAAGAAAGCATGCAAGGAAATACAAATGTCAATAAAAAAAACAACGTGGTATTGGCAATATGAATTGAATCACAATAGTAAGGAACATGACCAACTTGGGGAGCTTGCAACTCAGCTAATAAGTTGATCAACCAAATGACTTCTCTAGAACCAAACTCCATGGCTCTGTATTCGGATTCAGCAGAAGAATGAGAAGCAATTTGCTGCTTCTTGGACTTCCAAGAAACCAAAGTATTGCCAAGAAACATGCAGTATCCTGACGTAGAACTTCCTGTGTCAGCACAAGAGCCCCTGTCTGCATCAGTATAACCTCGTAAAACAAGATCAGAATCCGAAGAATAGAACAATACTAATCCAATGGTGCCTTTCAAGTAACGAAGAACCTTGTAAGCAGCTTGAAGATGAGAAGGTTTGGGAGCTGAAGTAAATTGACATAACTTGTTTACCGCAAAACTGATATCAGGACGAGTGATCGTCAAATACATCATCTTTCCCACAAGCCGACGATAAGCACAAGGATCATCAAGTAACGGTTCAGGAGAGTCTTGAATCAACTTATTACTGGGATCCATTAGTATGGGTAAAGGTTTGCAGGCCATTCAACATGATTCCTCCAAAAGTCCCAAAGTATATTTGCGTTGATAAACTGAAATACCTTTAGCATAATGGACAATCTCAAGATCCAAAAAATACTTCAAAGTCCCCAAATCTCTGATTTTCAATGCCTTTTGCAAATATTCTTTCAACTTATCAACATCATCCGTGAAATTACTGGCAATAATAATGTCATCTACATAGACAAGGACTGCTATGTAATGACCATTAATGTTGCGGATGAACAATGTATGATCAGCATGAGACTTCTTAAAGCCTAAACCCAAGAGAGTTGTACTAAACTTCAAAAACCATTATCTAGAAGCTTTCTTAAGTCCGTAGAGTGACTTTTGAAGTCGACAAACATCATTTTCTGGTAAGGTTTCCCCCTCACGTGGTGTGTATCCAGGAGGTAACTTCATATAAATCTCTTCATAGAGATCACCATTTAAGAAAGCATTAAAGACATCCAATTGAGTTAGATGCCAATTTTTTGGCAGCTGACACGGTCAATACAGTCTTGACAGTAGTCATTTTTGCCATCTCTGATACCATCTTAATGTTTACAGAGAAAACGAGGAAGACGTTGTAACAAACTCATTCTTTCTTATTCATCAATAAAGAATGAACGTTTACATTTATAGTTTATGTAATCCGGTTAACATAACAAACATGTACCGGAGATTAAACCAACATAACGAAATCAACTAAACTGGGTTACTCTAATATATAATAAGGTAGCAAGTAGGTTAGCAAAAAAAATGACAAAGAAAGTCTACAACTATGTATACACACATATATATACCGTGTATGTGTGATTAGGCTTTAAAATCAGTTGATGTAGGAGAAAATGGTTAAAGAGGACATATCTGATAAAAGGAAAATCCGTTCAAAAGAGAGAGAGAGAGTCGCAAAATAGTATCCACTTTGTGTGGCCAAGTATGTATTGAAATATTTTTTAAAAACTCTAACAACATTCTAACATGGGACTTGAATTGACCGCAAGAAAAAAGAAAAAGAAATTATTAACAAGTCTTATTGATTGACGCTCAGAAGTGTCCACTGGTACTAATATCATATAGTAAACTGAAATAGATAGAAATACATATTTTTATGGAAGATAGACTTATAAATCTAGCTAGACAGCTAGTAAGTAAAACTAAGTATATATGTAAGAAAATTAAGCAGAAAATTTAATAATGAATCAATTAGAATATATTGAAAGCAAGCAATTAAGGAGGAAGAAAATTTGAACATGAATCAAGAAACACACAACTAAACAAACAATCATGCAAGGAATCAAGGAAGTCAATAAAAAAGTAGAGAAATTAAGAAAACAATTGATCAAACAAAGAAAGAATTACGAAAGCAAGTAAACAATGAAATGTGGAAGCAAATATGAATGTCTACGAGTAAGAAAGTACGCAAATTTGTATGTATGTATGTATGTATGTATGTATGTATAAATGCATGTATGTAGTTATGTAGGCATATGTGTATGACAAATGTATGTATATAATATGTATATGTATGCATTGCATTCTTTAAGTGGTTGCATAGAACCTATGGAGACGTCAATGGTTTCGTGATACATTGATGGAGAAGAAAACAGACAGAAACATCAAATGCTAGAAGCAAAATCAAATAACAAATCAGACGAAAATGATTGAAGAGGAAATACCTGAAAAAGACAAGACCATTCAAATGATTAGTAGGAGAAATTCACTCAGGACTTCTTACATAAATAAGGAGGCTAGACAACACCCAAAAAACAGATTTGGAACTTTGAAGGATCAAAACATAGACGTACGTAGAAGGAAACGACTACCTAAAAAAGTTCAAGTAACGTGACTAGTGCAAAATATTAAAAGGATTGATTTGAGCATTATCGATTCAAATGCAAGCTTATAAGAGAGGAAGTTAAATCCTTGCTTCACTAACATAAATCTGGCTATGATTATAGTATATTGTTACATATCTAGTTTTAAAACAATATAACCGGATACACAGATATTCATGTATCATTATTATTAGATCACCTTAACTTGGGTTCTTATATTCTTCCCGTTAAGTATAGTCTACTAAGCTTATTTTTCATTAAAATATCATCCATTCTTGTTCTTCGTATGTATTAAATGAGTGATTGCAATTCCATTCGTCATTTTCTTCCAACAGATAATTTACATTAAATTGGATATTAAAAACGATTTCCGGCTATTAAAGTAAATAATACATTTCAAATCTAAAATATTGCTATAGAAGACAATTGAAATAAAATATAAAAGTTTTAACACATACTCTAAAATCGGTTTGGGTTCATGGTTTATAGTTTAAATTAAGGGTCTAGGATTTGGGTTCAGTGTAGAAGTTTTGGGTTAAGAGCCTACGGTTTGGGTTTAAGATTTAGGGTCTAGAGTTTTGGTTTAGAGTTTAGATTTAGTGTTTAAAGTTTAAAATTTAGGGTTATTAATATTTACGTACCAGTTGCTCCGATATATAATTTCAACTGAAGCCCGTTATTAATTCAATAAAACAGAAATATAGTTATTATTAATTGTATTCATATTCGATCGATATAGCTCATAATGGTGTTAGACCAAATGTTGAATGAAAATTTGAGTCTCACTTAATTGACAATTGAGAAAGCTATTCCATTCATTTTTTTTCTTCCAATAGATAATTTACTTTAAAATGGATATTAAAAACAATTTCTGGTTATTGAAATAAATA